GAGACACACTCAACAGCAGTACCTCCATAAGACTTCACTTCACACCTCTCTGCACTTGACACAGACTCAGAAAAGAAGAAGAAGAGGGGGAAGAGGGAAGAGCAGCAGCAGCAGCAGCAGCAGTAGCAGAAGAAGAAGAAGAAGAGGAAGAACAAATCAGTAATGGTGAGGCCAATCACCACGCGTCCACGCTTACGAGTATTCAACAGTCTGCATGGACATTAAAGCTCACAAATGCGCACATTCCCCGACGCGTTTCGCCTGGCTGCGCTCCAGGGCTTATCAAGGGGCAAACCGCACTCCCGCATCCACCTGTCTGTCCGCCTGAACTCTGAGGGCCGTTCTGGCCTTGCCCTCTATGTATACCGTACTCGTGCCAGTCTGCACGTTGCTCGTGTGTCCAACAACCCGGCGTAGGCACTCCCTTCACTCAGCGTAACAGAATGGGCTTGCCTTCACAGTCTTCCGCCAGGAGCCTCACGTGTGCGCCTATGCTGCGCCTGGTATGCCCGTTGAGCACGTGTACCGGTTCCTGGGGAAGTTTTTGATGCTAAACAGCCCTACAGGGCATGATGCCGTCCAGGTACGTCCCGTTTGTTTTCTCCTTTTTCCGGTTCTTGTCGGGTGTGCGCGCCTACCCGGCTTTTTTCCCTCTCTTGCCTCTCAACCGGCCTGCTATCGGCTACCCATGTGTACTATCTAATAGTTGCTGCTGCTAACACCCTTACCCGGTACTCGTCTCTGCTATTCTTTTCCTGCTGTCTATTAACCCAGTCCCGGCCCTATAACTCTGCTATCGGGGTTTTTTAGACTCCTGTGTCTACTGCTAATTCCACCCACATCCCTGCTATGGTACATAAATTACAGTCCGGTATCCTATTGCTAATTCCACACACGTCCCTGCTATGGTACATAAAATACAACCCAGTCCCATGTACCGGGGCGTTCCCGGCTCCCGTCGTGTTTCTTCCAGGTCACACCCTTCCCCGAGTGCTGCTCCGTTTTCCTCATGCCGGTCTACGTCTTGCGAACTGAACCAGTCCTTCAGCGAGCATCTGCCATGCTTCACTGAAGGTGCTGGTAACCCTAGAAAACTTTGCTAGAGTGTGGAAGAAGAGCGCCGGGGGGTATTCCTGGCGCCTGAGTTCGAAACTCATATCTAAAACTGGGGTGATGATCATCAATGGTTCACTAGCATGATGCTGGATTTTGTGAAAAGCCGCTGTAATTGCACCCGCTTTCACTCTCTTTCCGGAATACGAGTTATAGTCTTGGAAAGAGCGGTAAAGGAGCTCCCCGTTCTTGATGCACTCGTGATTTTTGTTCTTCTGGCGAATGAGGAACCGGATGGGACACGGCAGCGCTGTGATTCTCGTGCCCAGAAAATCCCAAGAGTTAAAACCATCGTCCGTGTGGACCAGTAATAACTGTTCTCCATACGCCTTCGCGAGCCGTTGCTGAATCTCCCTCCCTCTCGCTATGCTGCTCGGATCCGACAAGTCGCATTTGACCACCAGTGTAACGTCATCCACCAACCTTACTCCGTGTACCAACTTCTGGTCATTACCCAATGACTCGGGGAATTCTGCCTCGTATTTTGCACATAGTATGCAGGCAAGCAGGGGGCTGGAATTCTTACCCATGGGAATCCCTATCACCTGCCTTAAGATCTTCCCTTTGCTCATCACATAGGTGTTATCAAGCTCGAAAGTGACCAGCCGTCTGTTCATGGTGAACTTCAGATCGACGTGACCTGGTCCCGAGCTCTTCTTATTAAGGATAACAACCTTCCCTCTTCGGCTGAGGCTAACTCTTGCCACGTCCTTGTCTTCCCACTGACATAGTAGCCAGTCGACCGCTTGGATGATTGCTGGGTGCGGCAAAGAGGTAAACATCTCTTTAATATCGTAGCTCGCTGCCATCGGAAAACCATACTCGCTCTTTCTCTTCCCCACCTTGCTTGAACCCCCGAGGTTACCAACAAGTAGTGAGGTAGCCCTCAGGTTAAAATGTCTGACCCCTGGCGCTTTCTCCAGCAGAAAATTCAGCGCCCTGGCTAACCTTCTGCTGGCTGTCTTCGCCCCATCTGCGCATGCTGGTGCGATCGGTCTCCACCTACTGAGGTCCTTGTTCTTCGGGAGGACATACGCTTGCCTCGCTGATGGACTGGTTCAGTTCGCAAGACGTAGACCGGCATGAGGAAAACGGAGCAGCACTCAGGGAAGGGTGTGACCTGGAAGAAACACGACGGGAGGCAGAACGCCCCGGTACATGGGACCGGGTTGTATTTTATGTACCATAGCAGGGACGTGTGTGGAATTAGCAATAGGATACCGGACTGTAATTTATGTACCATAGCAGGGATGTGGGTGGAATTAGCAGTAGACACAGGAGTCTTAAAAAAAACAATAATTATGTACCATAGCAGGGATGTGGGTGGAATTAGCAGTAAACACAGGAGTCTAAAAAAGCCCGATAGCAGAGTTATAGGGCCGGGACTGGGTTAATAGACAGCAGGAAAAGAATAGCAGAGACGAAGCCAGCATGAGTCGGGCATAATCAAGGCCATGTTCGTGCTTTCCTAGCCCTGAGAAGCTCTTTCTTCAATACCACTGAAGAAGGAGAAGAAGAAGAAGAAGAAGAAGAAGAAGAAGAAGAAGAAGCCAGCATGAATCGGGTCATAATAGAAGAAGAAGAAGAATTGAATTGAATTGAAGTAGCGAGGCCAATCGCTACGCGTCCATGTCCATAGGGAAAGCATGAAAGCACCTACACGGACAACAAGCTCAACGCGCACATGCCCCGACGCGTTTCGCCTGGCTGCGGACCAGGACTTATCAAGGGGCTACCACACTCCCGCATCTGCCGTAACCTTCCGCCCAGAGCAAGAAGAAGAAGAAGCCAAAAGCAAAACCCAAAGCGAAATCTAGCTCAGTCTTTATGAAACCAACAAGGCAGAGGTGAAGAGCTCATGTGGCTGAAAGGGACACGCATCTAACTGTTAGTAAACAGATCATGAGTTGAAATCTTGATGGAATCAACTGGATACAATAACGTTAGGGGTTTTACCGCCTTCCAAAAGAAAAGAAAAAGGAGGTGCTGAACCCCTTTCAGGGTTGCGGCAGCTGTCTGGATAAACAGTATGTCGTGCACTACATCCACCCCTAGAAACTCTGCTACAATCTTTCTCTCCTCATCCTCTCTCTCTCTCTCTCTCTCTCTCTCTCTCTCTCTCTCTCTCTCTCTCTCTCTCTCTCTCTCTGTGAGCAGGAGGCAGAAGGATGATCGCGGCATAGTGCCGCACGCCATGTTCTCAATGTGTTCACTGTGGTAGTAAAGCCTCACACATTCAGTTCAAACTGCAGTTGCTC